AAAATAGGAAGTTCAATTATTAAAGTAATACTTAGATGTCCGATCTATTTTGACTTCTTCTGCAGTTTATTGTTGTCCATCGCATACGTTACTAGTATGATTCGCAAAAAGAAATCTCCTCCAACAGAGGAACAGATTACAATCTGAAGATCCAAGACTGCAGCGAGGAAAAGAATATCCTGTGTAAATGAAAACCTCGATAAAACACAAACAAAAGCTTCCAATGCTGAGAATGTGCAAAGACCTGGGGAGTCTCAAACCCTGAAAAAGCCGAACACCAATGAAGAGATATCCACAGAAGCTAGATAGGGCGACTTTTAAGCTAGTATATATATATATATATATATATATATATATATATATATATATATATATATATATATATATATATATATATATGGAAATAAAATGGCAAGACGAGCTTTACTATTCATGATTAAAAGGAAATAAAATGACCAGTTGACCGGTTTCGCGCTCACTCAACAGAGCTGAAATCGCCGGAAGTCTAAATATTGCAATATAAAATATAAAAACATGAGAATCATGTGATAAAATAAAGGTGGGAAGATCAAATAGAAATCATGGCAACACCTAACAGGCATTCCCTCTGTATATAGCGGGAGGGCTGCCTGGACCTGACATAAATCATTTCCAATACCTTGAAGTGTAACACAGAATGAACATGACTAAGGATGGAAAAAGAGTCAATGCTGAAATTTGTTGCAAAACTTGAATTTCTTATAAAGTGCTCAGCAATGGCGGAGCCTTATGTGTTCCGGAACTTGTTTCCAGATTGGAACGTACCTTTCGTAATTCTTCCGGGTACGTGCTGGTTAAACCGTGAGTCCAATGTTCTACTTATGTAGTCGGCTCGGCAACTACATTCAAAACGGTATATTACATTATTAAAATGGTTGGAAGGCAGAACGTCCTTCCGAGCAGACACCAAGAAAACCTGGTAGAAAAACTATATATATATATATATATATATATATATATATATATAATTTACATTATTCGGACTATTGTCCTCATCTTTGTTGCCATATTTATCACAACGTTTCGGTCGTTGTTCGCTCCGGCCTTCTTCAGGTGGTTGAAATTTCGAACTGAACCCTTTATTTCGCTCACCGGGGTAGACTGTTCTAGTTCCACGTGCCATGTTTGATGGATGTCAGTTATCAGTTATCTCCTGTTAATTTCCCTCTGAATGTTCTCCACTGCCTTAACCAGGTATTGAACTCACACTTTTTGGGTCCTATCACTGGATCTAACCAACGCCTTTATCCACTGTGCCATGTGTCCTTGAGGACAAAGATGAGGACAATGTATCTATATGTGTAAGTTTATATATGCCTATGTAAATAGGAAGAAGCTGAATCAGATAAAATATTTCTCGTTAATATCATCTTCTAAATGCTTTCAATTTTTTTTTTAAAAAGATGCATAAATAAGCAAATGACGTGCATATTTGTAAACATTAATATTAATTTTCCCAGACATTTCTCCGATTTTTTCTTTTTTTTCTTTTTCATAGAAACATTTTCCATTTCGCGTTGACAAAGTTAATCCATTCAATTTTTTCATCACATCTGCTGAAATTAAACATTTTCTCATTGTTGTCAAGTAAACGCGTTTTTATCATAGACATGAATACAGCAAATATTCACAATCTCACACAAAACAAGTCCGACTTCCAGATTCTGTAACGTCTTTTGGCCACACAAACCCGAAAACTATTACGCTACACAACATTAACTTTCAAGCTTATACATCTGTATGTGATATTATGACCCTGTAGACCATTTTCTTCATTATAGATCTCCACACGCTAGAATTTGCAGATATGGTCAGCGTACTAAGTAGTTGTTTACGTGGTGGCACTACCATCCCGTCCGAATAGCCTTCTCCTCCTATAATAGAATCTACTTATGGTAAAGTGGTGAATTCATGCATTTACAAGGTCTTTTGTGCGAATCAAACGCAACAGCTTATAATTTGAACACGTTACACCCATGAAACCATCCGCGCCGATAACCGCTAACCTACATACTTATCTACAGACGCATATTTACCGACAGAGATAAAGTTTAGATATTGGCATGCAAATAAACCCACACATCAGCCTAACACTTTACAAATGCATTCGTATACACATAAACTCACACAAACTGATAAATATTATTCTACCATGTGCAGTGTCCCTTCTGGTTTGCGATGACCGTGTTTCTTCACAACTACTAACCTATCTAGCTTTTAGTAAAATTAGTTATGACACAATTCTTTCCAGTCTCTTTTTTGCAATCCTTTAGCACAAACCTGTTACGTATACACACTTTAATATACGTAGGTATGAATACTTATTATCTCTATCCACCGAGTATACGGTTTTCTAATCTAGGCGATATCGCCCACCTGTGGGCGATTTCAACTGTTGGATGAACGATGAGTAAACGAGCAGATAATAGTAGACGATGAGCAACAGAGCAGATAATGGCTGGCGTTGAGCATCCGCGCAGATAATGGCTGACGATGAACAACCGCGCAGATAATGGCTGACGGTGAACAACCGCGCAGATAATGGCTGACGGTGAACAACCGCGCAGATAATGACTGATGATAAGCAACCGGGCAGATAATGGCTGACGATGAGCAACCGGGCAGTTAATGGCTGACGATGAGCAACCGGGCAGTTAATGGCTGACGATGAGCAACCGAGTAGAAAATGGCTGACGGTGAGCAACCGAGCAGATAATGGCTGACGATGAGCAACCGGGCAGATAATGGTTGACGATGAGCAACCGAGTAGAAAATGGCTGACGGTGAGCAACCGAGCAGATAATGGCTGACGATGAGCAAACGAGTAGAAAATGGCAGACGGTGAGCAACCGAGCAGTTAATAGTGGACAACGCGCAACCGAGTAGATTATGGAGAGTAATGATGAAAAAGAGATTATGATGATTAAACCGAGCAGATAATTGTATCCGACGAGTTGTCGAGCAGATAATGGTGGGCGATTTCAAATTTTCGTGGAGGATATAGACTTTTGAGTATTCAAAATTTATTTCAACATATGGTACCCGAAAAAATATTCAGAGGAGATATGGAAAGAACTTTTATATATATAAAAAAAACACACAGGAGGCTAAATTCCAAGATAAGATACAAATATTCTCAAAAGTAAGGCAAATTTTGGTATTTTCTATAGTTTTAAGAAAATCATTAACATTTAAATAGCCCCTCAGTATTTGACATAACAAAAATATTCGCTGAATTTTTATTACTTGCTACTAGTGCATATTTTTAATTTTATAATTACGAACAACAATTGTTTATTTCTTTTGTCAACATATTCAAACGTTAAACCTGACCATTAATCTAACCTTGACCATAAAAGTAAATAATATCTATTTTTAAGTGGCTAATTTTGTTTTCGTTTGTTCATTAATATAGTAGTAGAAAAAGCAGAAGCAGAAGCCGCATGTCAGAGTTATTCGTTACCCAACAAATTTAGTATGCTTTTGAATAGTTACTTTTGAGGTGGGCGATGGAAAACTTTTTCCATGTGAAAGTTGATGCGGTGTTCATATAGAAATAGAGAAATATAAAATAATAATAGAGCCCAAAATAGTCGTAATGAATACAACAATTATTATTATCATTAATTCTCTTTTTCTAAACCAATGAAAATCAGAACCACTTCTCTCGTGACGCCAAAATGTGTGAGCATTCTTGGCTTAACGTTTTGGTTATTTAATGCGTTTCTACTTAAGCCTGGATTTTGTATATGAGAATCAGAATTTTATATACGGCTTTCACCTCAAATATTCCTAAATTGCATGTTAGCGGTGCACAATCTTACTTATATTTGTCTATAGTGATGTATTATCCAAAGCGTGTCAGGACTTCGAGGCATTATAGCGAAACACTTAACTTCATTTAAAGTTGCATAATTCAACTTTATAGAATTTTAACATATAGAGTTACTAGTAAGATTCATAGTCAAAGACATCTTTGAAGGAAACAGTGCATTCTATAAAATTGAACTGCCTATATAAATATTCAATTTTATCGTATTTTAGGTGGTAAGGAAAAAAAAAAAAAACGTTTCAAATCTTGAATACTTCCGAAGAGAAAATGTCTCATCCGGCGCATTTAAAAGCTAGATGCCGTTGAGATTAGCAATGACCTTTTAGTTGTAAAGAAGTCCTGAACATTTAGAAAGCGAACTATAGATTTGAAGCGTCTGCCTGTAGACTCTTCGATCGACGTCCATTGCATTTCACATAGAAAGCAAACATAAGGGAAGACTTTATACGTCTTAGCTTTTTGCATAAAGAGATCATCTCTTGCTCTGATGTCTTATTATTGAGGTGTCGGTGAGAAGCTATTCTTGGGTTGGGTGGGGCGAAATTTGGCAGTGCTTCTGGTAAGATGAAAGCGAGATAGAAGAAAGAATGAGAAAAAGAAGTGAACGGGAAAGATTATGGTAAATATATAATTGTCTGTTCAAGATTTGCAAGATGCACGCATTATCAGATGAAAAATCGCATTTGCGGGACTGATCCGTAAATTGTCTGTTTCCGGTGTGGATTAGGATGTTTGCTTTGATTCATTTACCGGAAGATGTTCTCATAAATCGCTCTCTTTGACCCTCACTCTTTCTCTCTTATTCTATTCGTCTCTTGCTTTTTTTTTCTTTTCCAGTTCGTTTGAGCAGTGTCTCTGTTATTTTCTCTCTAACAATTTTCCATCTGCTTTTCGTTATATTTTTTCTTTTCTTTGTATATTTTACATTTGCTTATTTAATTCTTTTGAACTTTTTTTTTATTTCCTAATTTTCCCTTTCTTATTCGTCTATTCTTTAATAATTCTAATTTTTCATTTAATATTTTGGTATTTTTTTTCTTTAGATTCTTTACAGATTTTTGTGTTTTCTTTTGTTCCGCTGTTTCTCATATGTCATTCCAAAATTTGGAAAAGAGTATACCATAAAAAAATGTTTTTCTCTGCTTCTTTATTTGTTTCTTTCATTTTTCTTTTCAGTTCGGTTTCTTACTTTCTTTATGTTTTTTCTTTGTTGTTTTTTGTTTCAAAACTTTTTTTCATTATTTATTCCTATTTTCTGTTTTTTTCTTTCACATTTTTTTCCTTTTTCTTTCTAATTTTCTTTTCGTCTTTGGATTCTTCCTTTTTTCAATCCTTTCATTCTGATCGTTTCTTTCTTACGTTACACTCTATTTCATTTCACTTTCGTACCTTTTCTTTCATTTCCTTTCTTCTTTCATTTCCTTTCTTATTTCATTTCCTTTCTTCTTTCTTTTCCCTTCTTCTCTCTTTTCCCTTCTTCTATCTTTTCCCTTCTTCTATCTTTTCCCTTCTTCTCTCTTCCTTTTTTTCCCTTTTTTCTTTCCCTTTCTTCTTTTCCTTTCTTTCTTTTTTCCTTTCGTTTCTTCCTTTCGTTTCTTCTTTTCTTTCGTTTCTTTTTTCTTTCTTCTTCTCTTTCCCTTTCTTCTCTTTTCTCTTCTTCTCTCTTTTCCTTTCTTCTCTCTTTTCCCTTTTTCTCTCTTCCATTTTTCCCTTTTGTCTTTACATTTCTTCTTTTCCTTTCTTTCTTCTTTTCCTTTCGTTTCTTCTTTTCGTTTCTCCTTTTCTTTCGTTTCTTTTTCTCTTTCTTCTTTTCTTTTCGTTTCTTTTTTTTCTTTCGTTTCTTTTTTTCTTTCGTTTCTTTTTTCCTTTCGTTTCTTTTTCCTTTCGTTTCATTTTTTTCTTTCGTTTCATTTTTTCTTTCTTCTTTTCATTTCGTTTCTTTTTTCTTTCGTTTCTTTTTTTCTTTCGTTTCTTTTTTTCTTTCGTTTCTTTTTTCCTTTCGTTTCATTTTTTTCTTTCGTTTAATTTTTTCTTTCTTCTTTTCATTTCGTTTCGTTTTTTCTTTCGTTTCTTTTTTCCTTTCGTTTCTTTTTTCCTTTCGTTTCTTTTTCCTTTCGTTTCATTTTTTTCTTTCTTCTTTTCATTTCGTTTCGTTTTTTTCTTTCTTATCGTTTCTGTCTTCCTTTTTTCACATTTCTCATTTGTTTTCATTTATTCCTTTTCCATTTATTCTTTTTTCCCTTTTCCTTTCTAATTTTCTTTTCGTCTTCATATTCAGTCTTTTTGCCTTCTTTTGTTTTCAATTCTTTTATTCTCATCGTTTCCTTGTTACGTCTATTTCTCTTTCGTATCATTTCTGTCTTCCATTTCCTGTTTTCTTTCTTCCTTTTTCCTTCTTTCCAATTGATCCCGTCTCTTTCTTTCGCTTTTTTCCATTTCTTTTCATTTGTTTAATTTCGTTTATTTCTTTTCCTATTCGCGTTTCTCTTTTATTTTCAGTTCATCATACTCAACTTTGCCTTATAATCTGCTTCACAAATCTTATCAATTGTTTCCATATACTTATCCAAAATCCCGCGAAAAATCGGCGTGAATTTCCCGGGGGAATAGAATAATTCCTTAATATAGCCACAATAATGAATAATGTTCTTATCGATAATTCAGTCTATATTTAACACCATAATCTCACCGTGATAATTCTTTCTGGTTGTAAATAACTAGCTATAAATATATAAGCATAAGCAAGAAATTGCATACTGGTATTTATTAGTATTATTTTTAATGTTACTCAAGCTATCTTTTGTTCTAGATCTTCATATCATTACTCTCATAATATATTATCTGGTTGAAACAGATATTTAATACAATTACCTTGTCTGACAGAAGTCACAATAATAGAACTGTAATCTTATCGTCGTATAAACTAATAAGAAAATGAAAGTGAATCTCTCTTACCTGAAATCATTGTTGATTCAACTCTGGATTTTGTCAAATATTGACGTGTTGACGCGTGGTTTGAGTGTTTTCTCATTCTCTCGCGTATGTAAGAGATTCTCTACCTTCTCTATATCTGCTGAAATGTTTATGTATCTAGCTCTCTTCTGCTGATCTCACGTTTGATCAGTTAGATCGACCACCTGTGTAAATATCGAAAGCAGTTAGATAACGGTTGACATTGTATTTAAATTTTTGAAGGTCAAAGTTGACTGGGAAGCAAGAAACCTGTAGAGAGTTCCACAAGGGAAAAGTGCGAATGAAGAAGCAGTTAACATCAAACTTACGCTTTTGTCTATCCATTTCAAGTATTAAATGACGAGACTTTGCCGCCAATCTAGTAGTAGACTTAAACTCATAAATTGAAGATACCAAAGGGGGAATCTCATCAGAACAATGAAAATATGTATGGTAAAGGCACAATAAACCTGTCGGAGTTTGCTCCTCCTTAATTTCCTGTCACTAGGGGACGCTATCCTTGCATTGTAAATACTTGGCTACTTCTTGTCTCGTTCTCTTTTCACTTTGCATTTCAGCGGACACATTTAAAAATGTGATCTCTCACAGAGATCCGCGTTTTCACCCACCTGTGTGAAAACGCCATGAAACACACATACACGAACGTACGAACTTTCCCCAATATACAAACTCTTTACTTCCACACACAAACACAAATGTGGATGTCTTTGTCACAATTTTTGTTTAATGTATATATTTGTTTATATATATATACATCGGTAGTGTTGTTTTGTTGGACTCAACTTGAGTGCACCATATTCTTGTAGTTGGACCTTCTGCAGGAATAAACAGCACGTATTCTTAGCCTAACAAACCCACAAACCCACACGTGTCCTCTACAAAACTAAGTTACGGCGCTGGGAAAATTACTCTACCCGAGAGGACAGTTAAGGATCAATAACATTGCACATTCTTTTTTTTATTTTATCGAGAATCTCTAAATACACACCAGAAGATTCATCTCGGACGTGGCAGGAATATTCAATGCATTGATGATTGGTAGATTTATAAAGTTGCCAGATAGTTCGCGCCACAGAGAACCAACTTTCCTAGCAGTATACCGAGCAATTGATTCGATGTTCTTTTTCTACTTCATGTCGGCGAAAGATTTTAACTTGAGTCGTCGAATTGACGCAACCTCCAGAAGGTTAGCATCAGTTATTCTGATAGGAGACAAAAAAAATGTTATCTTAGACGACTAAAAGAGAGTAATTTTTGTGAGACATTAAAATTAACAAGCTATTTCTTGCCCAACTTACCAAAAGATTGCATGTCATTTTTCAGATCAGCTATCAAACTCATCATTCGGAGATTAATCTGAAAACTGTCCGGTTTTAGTATTCTCCCGTCGGAAGATAGTAAAGTTGTAAATAGGTAAATAACCCAAGTATTTTTGAGAAAATCATAAGTTTCGCAATATCAAGAAAATAAAAAATAAACACACAACTTTTATAAACGAATGTAATTTATGTTACAAGAGAGGAAGTTTTATTTTCTAATAATGTGGAATGTGTCTATTTGCTATTTACAAGTCACCTCGTGTAGATTCATAATTGGCTTACAGTGTAAATAAAAAAAGAGTCCTTTCATTGCGCAGGGTGTTCAACATGTCTGACTGCCTTCTATACAGGATGTTACTGCTCTCTTACAGCCACTGTCTGTCTAGACTGCAGCTGTCTGTGCGTAGGCAATTGATGTCCGTGTGTATACTGTTTGCGTGGGCAGTTGTTCTTTCTCTGGATTCTTGCCGCTTGTGAATCGTAGTGTTTAAAAAAAGTGGTTTGATTTGCATATGGCTTCGATTCAATAAAGTTTTCTTATATTAAAATAGGGGTAATGCGCCTACAAAGTAATAATACTTATATGCATTGTTTTATTTATAATGTCTTTTTTCTTCTATTTTCAGGTAAGTGCCTCAAAACTATTTAATTAGTATTCAATGGATTTATTTTCCGTTATCACTGAAAAAAAAACCCGCTAATAACTGTTGATATCGGTGAGTTGTCACTTTTCACATAATGCTTATTTGCGCATGTGTTACCTGTTACACGCCGTGTTTAGTTGCGGTTAATTATAATTACGTTGCATTACACAACAAACCTCGTTTTAACCTCCTGCTTATAAACTGTTTTCACTTTGTTGTCATAGCAGTGTTTGTTAATATTGTTTTTCGTCGTTGTTTTCAAACAAATACAAGCATGTATAATACAACATTCCTTGAATGTAAGAGACAAGAGTTTTTAATTTGCTTTTAATAATGTGTCTCGTTATTTTCATTTCGCGCAGCTGTTTCTTTCACTAAAATATTTCATCTTTAACCCTTGTCTCTTACTTTAAAATTTCTGTATCAAAGAAAATGGCTGCATAGCTATGCATTTCACTTTGATTAATTGCACATTTGAAAGTTTTCTGCTGTTAAACTGAAATAAAATATTTTTGCAAACGAAGATTTGTCCCACTTTATCAAACGAAAATAACTTATTGAAATAAGATATGTTTAACAGAAATTTTAACTCGGCGCGCGTTGAATTTTGAGGATCCCATTTTCCAAATTCGAAGGATTACTTTAAATTTCAGAAATTAGATGGTTATTCTTATGTACATTGTTTACATTCGAAATAATATCCTGATATTTGTTGTTATTATCCGAAGTTCCTCTCAGCATTTGACCGCTGTTCCCTGTGAATATCTCCAGAAATAACGAATTTATCTCTTTCTTCAAACTATGTAGTCTAGATTGTTCTCGTTCCTTAATCCATGTCTAGGGATATCGCTTGAATGGAATGGCAAATTAATTGTGAGGTCAATCTTTGGACCGAAAATAGAGACTCCAATTCTATCGTAACAGGACTAAAAATAATTGAACCTTTAAAAAAAAACAGTAGAAGATTATATATCAGCAGATACGGAACAATCTACAGCTATAGATGAAATTGTTCAGTTCAAAATTCTATGAATGTGTTCCATATTGATAGACACGTGCCAGGGTCAGAAGACTGGTTTTTTTTTATAATATAAGAAAAATTATGAAGAATCTGCAATATAATCAATGACGTTGTGCATTTATTTATTTCGTTTCATGCACTACAGTGGGAAGGGAGATAAATCAACTGCAGTTTGTAAATTTATGAGGAGACAACTCCCTCAGTAATTTTAATAATCTATACAAATGAGATATTTATCTTTATTTAAACAAAATCATTTTGCGAGTAAAATGAACCGTTTACTTAATCCGTTTCCTTACTGTTACGTTTCTTAGATTCCACATATTTCTCCAAGCCAGTCTTGCAAGACATTCATATAATTTTTTTTTAAATAAATGATCTTCCTGATTCAACTTGAATTTGAGATAGGCTTTGTCGTCGCCCTCGTTGTCATTTTGTTTCTAAGCCTTTTATCTTTCGAGAAGTGTTTCCATTTTGAGTTTTATTTATGTTAAACATAACATTTTTAACATGGAATGATATTGAGCAAAATGCGGTTTATATACTGTTAAATGTAATCAATGAATCACAGACACCTTTAACCGTCTAAAAATATAAATCGAACGGATTAATTAAATGGTATATTTGCCTCTGTTTTACTTGTGAATTCAACATCTTCGTTTTATTTTAAACTCAATAGATATTTTTTTTTAAATTAGCTACAATAAATCTCAATATTAAATCTTTCTAACAACTGCCGTCATTTGCAACAACACAGGTACACTCATTTAAACAATAAAATTAATTAATCTAAGTAAGTATGTGTATCCTTGGAAAATCTATCAATACAATATATCCACTTATCTTTTTCGTAAAAAATAGTTTTATTTATAGCCTAATATTTGGAAGGTCAGATAAAATATTTAATATTTTCATTATAGAATAATTTATCTAAAATTACAATCAAGCTCACCATTTGATTTACAATTTTTCAACGAATTATATTATAGCCTTTCAAATCATATTTCACACATTAAATAAATTAGATAATTTAATAGTTGACAAATCTTGATCTTTAGTAAATTGAGACGAAAAAACTGAAATCGATTTCTCGAGATTTGTTTTGTAAAATACAAAATTGTGGAACAAGGGCTAAAAAGTGGGGAAGGTGGAGCTGAGGTTGGTGATCACTGCTATCTTATACCTAGCTAATCCGATTCGCAAACCATTCATTTGTTACAGTTTAACACATTCACCAAAAGAAGTTGTCCATCATCAATTAATCCTCCAATCACTATAATACTTCATACACTCGGTG